AAGAGAGATATTTGACATAAAAAAATAAAGTGTTAGGTTCTTGTTCTCAGATTTCACAGAGAACTTACTAGGAAACCTGGAAAACTTAAAACTGGTGGATACTTATCTGTGCCAAACAGAAGCCAAACACTGGTATATTAGAATAAATGGTCAACATATCTAATTTTATTTCAGTGAAAATAACAAAGAAGAATGTTTTCTCACTGAAGTTTAATATAGATTCTAGAATCTGTTGACAACTGAAAATAAAAGTTTATGTAATTAACCACGACATGAGATTAGTCTTCTGCTACCATAGGCTTTTCCCTCGCCATGTCCTTAAGGACTCTAATGTGCTAATTCTAATACTTTGTAATGATTTACCTAATTCACTAATTAAGCTTTTCAAGTGAACTTTAAAAATAATCAGAGCCTACTAATGATTGCTACCGACTCAAAAAGTTAGTGTAAACAAAGTACCTGTGGCTTTTGTAACAAGGTTAATTTAATCCCACCGGTTACTGTTTGATTTTCTTAATCTTTATTGTGCCTCTGTCAGCAGAAATAACAGAATGGGAAGTGCATACCCATCTTCGGGCAAGCAGTCAAGCTGGTCCCCAGGCTTTAAAGTCTATACCACTGCTGGGAACAAGGCTTCACCCAATGGTTTTTGTTATTTGAATTTTTGTTACCTACAGTTAAGAGTTAATAGTTTTGACTAGCTACTACCTAGTGTAGTAACATAAAGAAAATTGATTGGCCTTTTCAAGTTTAAATTTGGTTGTTTCACAATGAAAGAAGCTAGAATAGAAAGACTGAAGTTTGTTTCCTCTTTTAAGTATTCCGATTGCAAATGAAGTAGATTTTCTTAATTACATCACAAATAATCAAAAGTAGGCTAAACATAACAGTTTTAAAAAAATAGCGTCAAACTTCTAACACTAAATAATGAGCTATCGTATATAATAAATATATTAATAATGACATTAGTTAAAAATGAGTAACCAGGGTCAGGCAGTGGTGGTGCATGCCTTTAATCCCAGCACTTGGGAGGCAGAGGCAGGCGGATTTCTGAGTTCGAGGCTAGCCTGGTCTACAGAGTGAGTTCCAGGACAGCCAGGACTACACAGAG